GAATTCTTCTTCTTTTTGCTGTATGTTAATTGTGCGTCATTATCAAGGCTTCAAGCTGTTCATGAGCACAAAAAATAAACAAATGAATGAATGAGTGAATAAATAGTTATAAAAAGGCACCGTACATTCGTATTTTTTTAGAGATGCCCACTCACATCGAAATTTAATCACAAACGCTGCAGTTTACTTTGAAAAATTCCGATATTTTGTTAAGTTTATTTTACGGGTATAAAACGCTTAAGGTATGATTTAAGACGATAAGTTTAAGCAAAATCAAACTATATCTTATACCCGGGTATAACTTTCGGCGCTGTTCTGGAAGCGAGCCTGTCGTGTTGCGGCGTAGATACACACATCGAAGTGCGCTTCATCTCACTCCGAGGTGATCGGAAAAAGGAAAATCACGTAGACTGAGTAAGTATTCTAGTTAGGGGAGCAACCACATTGACGCAGAACGATGTCTCCGAAAAATATAGTATAATCACTTGGAACGCCCGTTTCTTTAACAATGTTTGTTTAGTCGCTCGAATAGTGCGTCTATAGTCTCTCTATGCTGAGGTCACCGAGAGCGTCATTTAGACACGCAGAACCTCAAGAGGCTGATACGCGTGAAAAAGGAGATAGAGCCAGTCTGCTGTTTGGAGTGTCAACAAGACCTGAGAAGGGTTTTAGACCCAGATTACAGCTAAAAGCTCCTAGCAACTTTTATTTCTAGAGGAGAAGGTGGGAGCAAAGTGCCAGGGCAATAATACACAGTACAGCTCTTGTTGGGATGGACAGCTTGTTGTACCTTAACGAGGATACTTTAATGCAAACGAAACGTATGTAAAACAATGAATTGCAGCTGTGAATTTGACGGTAAACTGCTGATTTATTCGGTTATACGTTTGCCAGGCAGCTGCGTTTGACATTTCATTCAGAATATACAGGGATTCCATGAAATGCAGGACAAAATTTGCCCACGTAAACTAGGCGCTTGATAGGATTGATGTCGTATTGCTGACTGTCAAGAAGATAAAAAAAGATAAAAAAGCGGTTTATCGTTTTGTATAATTAACTTCCTATTTAGTGAAGGTAAGGGTACAGGTTTCAATCATATATGCCGACGCATTGTTGATAGACTATGGTGCGGTGACTATATATCTTGGACAATTCATGTTCAGAGAACTAAATAAGAAAAAAGCACGGGCCGAATGTGCACTGTTTGCTCGGGAAACGCCGGAAAAGCACTACCGCCACGGAGGGACATCAAATATATGAGTTTACTCAAATATGCGAAGAATGATCATTAAATATTATTTACGGAAAGCACACAGTTTTTCAATTCCTTCCAAAAACGAAAACTGCGTATATGAACGAACGTCTATGTTTAGATATATTTGCTGATTCGAGAAAGATTCTCTAAAATGCGCTTCCGAGGTTTCAGTTTACTTTTGGCCGTCGACCTTCTGAAGCAGCCCTAGAATGTCGGACCTTCGAGGGTGCGGTCAAATTAAATTGGTTGATTTTGGAGTATGGTGAATCACTGCACTCGTCTATAGCTCCAAATAAATAGTTTACATTCAGTGGTTATAGACACTAGTTAGCAAGCGTCTATTTGAAGCAATTCTTGTTCTTGCTAAATAAAATTTACTCTTTACTGCACAACCTTTAATTTTGAAATAATTTTATTCCAGCTCTAGACAAAGGTGGATATCCTCTACTGGCAGAGAAAATTAGTTTCAATGTTTGATAAAAAGTTAAATCAGGAAAATATAGGTGTGTTGCATATTTGCAACAAGATTGAAATAGTGCAGCATTTCTAGTTAAATACTAGAAATGCATCAACCAGATTGCAACGATTATTTACAAGGGTCTATGAAGGTTCCGTGTTCACTTGTTATTGCACAAGAGAAAGCGGTTGCTCCTGTTCGTTGAACAAAGATGAATATCGCACTTAGAACAATAGAAAATGCAAATGCCGTTGCATCCAGGAAACTTGCAACGCTGTCGCTTCTGACTCTAAAGCACTTTCTGATCAACCTGAACATAGGAATGAGAAATAGTGCGAATTGTAAAATTCCTCGATTCCTAAAAAATAATACCTGATCTGTCCTGACATTCCGAGTTGGACACGATTCTGTAGGGCCTCTTGCTCTCTTCAGCTGGATGGATGCCTTGCACCAGTGACTCATTGCTGGGTCTTCCCCTTCGGTGTATTTTTGCCTGACTTTCCCAAATTAACCACACGATTTTATCAAACGTTATAACCCCTCTACAGTAAATCTTTTTGTTTAAGGCAAAGGTTCCATCATCGACCGTTTTACTCTGCAGTGTGTAGCATTGACAGAAGTTTAGCTTTCACTTGCAAATTGAAAATTAAATATTTTGAGTGGTACATATAAGCTGACAATTTCAAATAGTCAAATTTCGGGCATAATTCGTCCTTGGGAAAAAACGCCAAGAAAAAGAGACAGTTACAGGAACATTTCTACATTTTCTAAGTGGAAGCTAAAATGAATAAAAATAAAATTTGTCTCTCTACCTGCACCATTGAAACAGACAGACACGCAAGACAGAAACCGAGAGGAAGAGAGAGAAAGAAATAAGAAAATAGATTATGTTGCGGAGAGGTTTGAATGAGAGCGGGATCGTTGCACTTTTGACCGCCGAACGGTGGTTAGGTTAGCAATAGAATAAAAGTATACTAAGTTTGGGCTTCTATAGAACACTTCAAAAATATATTTGAAAGGTTATATTTTGTTTACTGATAGAATATTCAACACATAATAAAAAAACACTTCGCAAATTATATTTGAAGTTTATTGTCATTTCGTTAACTCCTAGGGTTAGCCTCGTTTTGAACATTTAGTTTCAGGAGGAAGTTACGCTACATCAAGTCTTTTTTCTTTTCTTGACTGGTGCCAACTGCGGCTCTATCGTCGATTGAAGCAACCCCAACCTGACTGCCTGCCCCACTTGGCCATGTGTGTAGCTGATTACAAATATTCAAGAGTATCAAGGTCATTACCTACGGTAAAATCACGAGGCAAAATAAACTACAAAATTACGACTTATATGAATATTTTAGCGTGCTTCGCGCAGCCGCCAAAATATTTTGCAGTGTATCTCACTAATGTTTATGTCACCCTCTATTTTTCACTTATTATGAAGAAAAAAAAGAAAAAGAAAAAAAGAAAAAGCGAAATAGCATTGTACGTAAACATGTACAATGCTATTTCGCGTTTTCTTTTTTGTGCCGGTAACCACCGTGTTGGTTACCGCGATGCCTGTAACCGCGGTTCTGGATTGTGCGCTAAAATTTCTATATAAAACAAACAAAAAAAAAAAAAACCAGCACATTAGTTACTATAAAGATCGATTCCTCACTATGCCACTGCTACAATTCCCACCTATGCGACGAAAAAAACTGAGAGGAAGGAGGAGACATGAGCGCTATCAGCGATGTTTGCAACCTCCCCCAAAGCTCGTACTGTTCGTACGCGGACCATAAACCACGTGACCCTGATGGAGCAATTGCAAAACGTTTTGTAATATTCGCTGTCTAGCATGACACGCCGGATTCTATGACGTAATCTGTTGGTACTTGGGGATCAGTTTCGATGCGTGGGCGACTCGAACGGCCCAGTTAAGGACGCGTTCGAGGCCCCGTATCAGTATTATTAGTTCGTATAAGCACGTCCTTTTGTTTTAGGTTGATCACGCTCACGTCTAAGAAAGGTTTCCAACGATCTGTTCACGAGTTTTTTTTTAATGCATCTCGTTAATATGGTTTTTAATGGAAATCAATAAGAAAACTTTCTTTATATATAAATTTTTTGTTATTATACATACTTTTTTTCTTTTTTGCTCGAGAAGAGGTTTACTTTGTCACCGTCTTGTTTTTGACGCCAGTGCAACACAGCAGGCAGCGAGGTTAAATTTTTTTTTTTTTTATGAACAGGGGAAAGAACAGTTATAAATTGGCAAAAAATCTGTGCAGGTTTCAGAAGGAGGACCTTATACTCATAAGGGAAATGAAGCAGATGTGGGTTGTTGGACAGCTTAGAAATTGCTTTCACGAGGACTATTGAAAATATGCTGCAAAGCGGTGGAGACTTCCCGCGTTCCAAGTAGTGCTGGGGGTTGATTCAAAGTTTGAACCCGAGTTATCACCAACATTTGATCGGCTAAGAATTCGATTAATCCGTCTCGTTTATTTCTATGCATAATATTAAAATTTTTCCCCTGTGTTGATTTTGTGATAAACGGCGAAATATACATCTTGGATTATGAATCAATCTCGATGCCTATTTAAGAACAGTTCAAAGACACTCACACTCACAAAATATTACCTCAACTGCATGAAGAAAAAGAGGTTCATTGATATTTTCCGGCAAGAGCCAGCTTCTCTGATTGTTCGCAATAGTCTCCGCTCCGCTAAACAGACACTCGAACGACGTTGAATTGGCCGGGACACGTGTAACATTCTGCACTTGTCTGGGGTTACAAATGTCGCCCCTACAATTCCCTTTATTGCGAAATGTGATCTAAATTTTCCCTTCATACGGGTGTACTCGTCTTCGTCCGCGTGGTGAAAGCGTTTAATTTTTTCTTTTGGTTCGTCAAAACTTTACCAATTAACCGGTTAAAAAATTTAATCGCGTTCAAAGCAATAATATATTAGTTGGTGGGTTAATCGATAAATTGTCGTTTCCTAGTTCCAAGTAATCGAACCGTTGTGTATTTTTGGCTATGACGAAAAAATAGGGACCCGGGTAGGTTTTAAAACAATTCACCTCGTGATATGAAGTCGTAAGGGTACGATTGACGAGAAAGCGACAGATGTGCAATAAAAAATTTTCCAAATAGAAGCGAATGTGCACAAAAATTAAGCCTGATCTGTGAAAAGAGAGAGGTTGCTAGACTGTTCGTATGACTGACGTCCCAGTAAACTTCAAAACATATAAACCCTAAATCGCAAGTAGAAAACTAAATATGATTTCTCTGTCTATCCGCAGCACTTGCGGTGATCCCATCGGTGCTGATGCTGATGTCACTGCCCTTCTGCCCGGAGTCGCCCAAGTATCTGCTCATGGTGCGGTGCCAACCAAAACAAGCCGAAGCTGGTAAATCCTTCGACGACCTTTGGAGACCTCTTATACAACCAAAGGACACTAAATAAGATCCTCCTAAATAAAGTAGTTATATATGATTGTGAACTGTAATATGCCTCAGACGTAATGAACGGTGTGAGTTTTTTTATTCGTAGAAAACATCGAAACAAGCTTGTTGTCTTTGTATTTGGACCGATTCAGGTTTTTTCGTTCAAGTCATTAGCAATCCGCTTGTTATTTCAGTAAATTTACAAATAACATTCTAAGATTAGGCATAACTGTTTCACCAGTGTGGCACCTCATTTGTTAATTAACATTACAGTTATTGTTTTAGTAAATTAGTTTGTTAGATAACTGGTAATTGTTATAATGACTTTAAACTAAATTATTTGTTCAATATTACATTTATTTGTTTGAGTGAAACCTCATCTAATTGTTTCGGTAGTAATCCAATGCTTGGTTTAGTAACATTACAATTGAAATATTTTAGAAAAAGCCGAAAGCTGATTCAAAACGATATTTAAGGCTCAGACTCGACATTCTTATCCCAGAATAGTGGGGAAATAGACGGACAGGACAACACGAATTTTCAGACTCGATCGGGGTTCATCACATTTTCAATTCAATTCAATTAAATTCAATTCATTTTATTTACTCCCATAACAAAGAATGGGCGATGGAGGCAGGAAAAAAAGCTGCAGAAACTCAGTTTCTGCACAAGACGTCCTATTTAAAATTGTTCGTTGGTCATTGCGTATGCCACTTCACGACGCGGATGCAGTCGTGACACAGAAAAAAGTTGCGCCTATCAGTGAGAAACAGTTAATAACTTGGGTTTCGTGTATAAAAATGTACCCGACTGTTTGTGACGTATTTGTTTGCTTTCTCGCGTGTTGTGCAGCGTTGATACGTCTCCGTGGCACGCGGGATGTGCTCTTCGAGATGGACGTCATGAAGAGCGAGGCCGAGGCAGCGGAGTTTGTTCCCAAAGTGAGATTACAAAACCCTCTCTATATTGCATACATGGTGGTCGTACACAACATCATTATAACGCGTGAAATAAAGTCCTTGCGTTGAACACTAGTAAATATAATTTACGAAATGGAAACTTATAATCACGGTTGCTTTTGAGAGGTTGCATTTTTTTTTTGGCATTTGGCAATACGTGGTGTCAGCAGGACCAAGCAATATGTACATGTGCTAGGTTTAAAAAAAAAAAGAAGAAGAATCTTATTGAAAGTACACAAAATTAACGCTAACCTTTTTGTCATAATTATTCAACAAATATAAAATTTAAATAAGTTTTTACTTAATATAGGTGTGTCTCGAGCTTTCTTTTAAACGTTGCAGAACCATTAAAAGCAGTTTAATGCACTTATCTGTGTAAAAGAAATGTATAGGAAAAGTAATTTCTGCTACACTTACTTGTGCCCTAAAGTACAAGTAATCACAACAGTTTTTGTGATATACTGCACCTCTCAGTACCTTTTTTTTAAAACTTGGGCAGCGTGATTTGTGTTTTTTTAATATTAGTGAACACGCGTAATTGGCTTAATTCATCGAGACACCAATATATAAGCCACGTAAGAAAAAGCTTGAATATCTTATAAAACAGCATCCATCTTACCTAAGCCTGGATATGAAAGGTGTTGCACAAACGTTTACAGTCAGTAGCGCACTCTCATGTTCAAATACGGCCTCTAAAGGAAGCCAAAATATGTAAATGCCCGATGCCGGCCAGTCAAAAGGATACTACCCTACATTGCGCACCAATCGAACACTAGAATATAACAAACTAGTGAGGTTATTGCCTTAAAAAGGTGGAGGTCACCGGTGCATTTTACCTGTTTATAATACTGGAAAGTAGGTTAGAGTAACACACTGCTCTTTTATCAGCGTTTGAACTGCAGTACTGATGTTGCAGCTCTCGATGATGTTGAGCTACGCAGAGCAAAAAGCGAAGTGAAACAGGAAGCTCTCAAGTCCGATTTGCTTTTATCTTAGCCCTCCCCCCAAAAACTTACTTTCTTACTTGAGTATTATTGTGCATTTCTTAAGTAAAGGTTTTAATCAAAGGTGAGTAACGATAATTAAGACGAACGCATCATTTACTTAAAGTATCTCAGTATGAAATCTGCTTCGGGATTTCTTTCTACACGAATGGTTTGATGTAAAACGGGAAGGAAAAATAAACATGATTTAAATCGTAATTTAAATAATGATTTATATTCTGGTTTAAGACGTCGGTTTTACTATGATAATTTAAATGAAATCTTTCCAGCAGAGTAAACCCGAAAATAAATTTGTATTTACCATTTGTCTATTATTTGATGCTCTCTATCGGGTTTTGTTTTCTATTTAAATCAAATAATCATCGAGCAAGAAAGATCTACAGCATACTGAACGAGAACAAAAAAGTGTCGCTCTTCTGAACAAATCCCAGGGAGCTTCCTTTCTACCTTCCATTTGATTCGTCAGTTATGCATCGTTCCGATACAAGAAAGTCAGAATGTGGAAACAAAAATTAAAAGTAAGATCATTGCACAATCAAATTAGTACGCGAAAAAAAAGTCAATAAAGCTTTTTCACTAACTAAAAAAAGTCAACGTGAGCTTTTATGTCGGGTTTTATAACGTACAGTAATAACACGTGAGGAAGTAAGCAGTATATAAAAAGTATAAATTTGCAATAATTCTTTCTTTCTCATTGTGTTCAATGGTGGGACAGATTTATCAACCAATCTTTCATGCTTTGAAATACATCTATTCTCGGGGACAAGGTTTCTTGGCATTTCCGAGGAGAGGAGGAGCGCGCGCGCACAGCCTTAGCCAGAGCTCGAATAGGGTGAGAGAACGGGTACCTTGCCCAAGAAAAGTTGTCCCCGAATATAGCAATAAATAATATTGTTTCTCTAGATTCAGCGCTTTAAATCCTATTTATCTGATTTATATAAAATAAATCTGATTTGAATAAAATACACCTGATCTATTTTAGTTTTTTTTTTTAAAAACGTACAGATTTTTTCAACCTTGCCATGTGATTTACGTCAAACGTTTAATCTTGGTATATATCGTGCTTAAGTTACCATGATTTATTTTTCTGCACTTCTATGGACGGCTTTCAGATCTACCTTAATTAATGTGTATAGTGATGAAAAATTAGATTAAACAAACATGGCGAGTATTTTATGCTCTTTGAATAGGGGTGACGGCGCGATTCCATATCTGTTCATTAATAAAATTGGCCTTCACAAAAATTTAGAAGTTGAAGTTGTATCACAACGGGAACTCCAAATCTGTCTTATGTTTAATTCCTGGCTTGAATCGCAGTTGTGAGATTCAATCTTGGAACACTCTTATTCCTAGGAGTCGATCACCTGTTTTCTGTATTACTGCAAAACATTAATTAAAATTATTTAAACATGTCTGCACGCTCTTGATGGGGGCCAGACATAACCGATAGGTGTAACGGGCTGGCACGTTGCAAAAACAAAAAGGCCTTCTATGGGGTGGAAAAGGTTTAATAGGCAGTTATAGTCTAGTGTTACCTGTAGGGAGTGGCACTGTTGCCGGCGCTGGCGCTTCGAAGCATTCTCTTCAGCACGCTCCAGGAGCCGTAATATAGCTGCGGTAGCCAGCGGTACACCTTTGCTAAAATGCCCTAATAAAAGCCCCCTAAATGCATCACTTCCACCATTCTGTCCCGCTTTCTATCAGGTGACGCTTCAGGAGATGCTGCGCAACCTGGCTCTTCGTGCCCCGCTCATCATATCGCTCATGGTGATGCTGGCGCAGCAGCTCTCAGGCATCAACGCGGTACGTAGAGCTGCAAAACACTCGGCAACGCGTGATATCTCTGACACGCGGCGCAATCGGTATGTGGCATGTGTCCGAAAGCCAAACTCGCGCGCAGTAGTTACCAACTCATTACATGGTTCATCGTTTGCATTCAAGCAACTGTGTTTATTTGTTTAAAAATTATGACATCTTACTAAACGCCAAAACCGTTAAAGAAAATTGCGGCAGAACGATAATGAATCCGAACGAGAGACAGGATTCTCGTTTTGCTAAAATAGTAATGCCCATTTTTGTTCTGTGTAGCTGGTATGCCAAGTGTGTTAACTTTCTTTATTATGGCTGCCAAAATTAGGTTGGAGATTGTAGGCCCACTTTAATACTTAGTCAATACACCTGAATGTTAGACATCACTCGCCCAGCTGTTCAGTTAATTCGATTTCTTTTTACACGCTTCTCAATCGCGGGAAGTAACTTCGATGCCTGTTATTAAAGACTTTGCAGAAATTCGCATTTTGTTAATAAGAAGAGGGTCGGCCCGTCTTACGTAAAATTGTTTTGGAGATTATGCCACAGTGAAGATATACGTCTCGGAGGAATTGCTGTTTGTAGGACTAACTGGCAAAGCTTAGAGAAATATCCCAATGCAGAGATACCAATGTCACTAAGGGCTGTCTACGAATCAGAAATCTTTACAGTTCCACTAAACGCCTGGGAACCCAAACTTCTACTACACGTGTGGGTACGTCAAATATCACATAAGCCTTCCAAATAAACTAATTGTTGCCAACCGCAGAGGTAATGCGGTGGACCGCAGAAGGCGAAACTTGTGACCTGCGCAAAGTCCCACTCAATTTTCGTACTTTCCTTGTCCGTCAAGGTAATTCCGGAGGGATTTCTTCTCGAGAACTCGTGCACTCCATGTAATCTGTGAAAGTGAACTTTCTGAATCCAGTGCCGGGTCGCTCCCCCCAGAAAATCCCAACTAAGGACTTTTTGTCCGACAATTAAAGCGCCCACAAACCATGACCCCCCCCCCCCCCCCCCCTCAAGGAAAAAAAAAAGAAAAAAATCATTTAGTTGGTTGCGGGGGCGGCTCTGATCTTAAGTCGGCATCTGCTGCACTGGCGTTGACGACATGAACATTCGAAACAAACAAGGAACCAAAAGAAAAAAAAAAAGAGGCTATTTTCACTGGCGCCTAAGGAAAGGTCCCATACAGTAAAGTACCGCAGACGATGCAGTTCGACCAGAGGCCTCTTGTGGCATTTTTATGCGAGAACGTATAGTGGTATGAACGAAGTGCTGTATGCTATTCTGAAGGAAATGTTTTCTAGTGCTTATGTGTTTGGGTTACATAAAATGAACAAATTTTGATGCAGTGCATTAAAATGTATATACTAGAGTGAGCGCGTGGTTTCATTTAGGTTCTCATTTTTATTGCTAGATCAAGCACCGCGACCTCTCAAGCAGCTTCGACAGCGTTGCACGTGATGTCGTTATATAGAACACAGAGTGCACACGTTTTCAAACATTATATACTGGAATGAGCATGTGGTTCCACTTAGCTTCTCATTTTAATTTCTAGATCAAACCCCGCGCTCTCGTAGGCAACTTTGACGGCATTGTACGTAGTTACATAGAACACCGAGCGCACACAGTTCCCAAAACAACTCGGTTTTATGGGATCACCTGATTGCACCTCTAAAAAGCCATCTTGTCAGAATATTTTCTTTATTAGGGAGTTTTCATATTCAACTAAAAATGTTTCTTTCGTTGCGCTTAACAATACGCCGTGGAGATCACGATAAGACTGTTTTCAATATTTAAGATCTATCAAAATTGCGAATAAATCATATATTGTATAGAGACGATATTTTTTTAGGTTCCAGCAGAAACTATTTGAAAAGGTTCCGATACCTCCGATCCCTTTGAGGATATATTGGTAGTTGTCGTTCCTGCTTCAGAAATATGCTTCCAACGTTGTTCTATCCTTATCCAAGATTTCCATGCAGCGTTTTCAGCGTTACGGACGCGAGCGCAACGCTTTGCCGAGTGTTTTTCTCCCCGCTTTTCAACGTGTGAATTAAGCCTAGGATAGCTCTACAAGCAACTTGTTTGATGAGTTTTTGCAGCGAAGAAATATTTGATTCGCCAATACATCAGCTGAGGTTTGAAAAAATCTTGACATTTTTTTATATTTGCAGAATGCTTGACCTCTAAATACGGTTCGATGAAATATTCACTGTTTTTCTTGTCATTTTTTGTGACAAAACTCACAAGTCGCAAGCATTGTCATATACCCCTTTAAAAATTACGCCCTCTTACTGCCGATTTAAAAATACCTCAAAGTGGCGTGCACAAAAAAAAAAAAAAACCATGAAAATGACAAGTCTATCCATTGCATACAGTCTCTTGGAAGTGAATATTGTATCGGTTATTAATTTTCCATCTTGGTGTTCTTTGCTCACGCCACTTCGCAGTATTTTTAGATCGACCTTAAGATTACGTCATTTTTTAAGGGCTCTATTGTGTATAACAAATGAAACATCAGAGCTTTTGGCTGAAGAGCCACTTTGACAATCGTTACACGAAAATAGCACGTGTAATTCTTAATTTATTGGCACGGCCACAAGCTGAGAGGAGAAGCGCAGGGTCTCTCTTTTCAATATTCTTACTCCAGCACGCAATCGTTGTTTCCTGTCGTGCATTGGTTGCACTTTCGAAGTTCACAAAACGCCAAAGTATTAAAGAACTTCTGGCGCTAGAGGCAAACCTAAATGAAAGGCATCCCTGACGTTCTTATCCTTTAGCTAAAAACATTTCCTCTTTAATAGAAATACTGCAGAGGTCGTGAAAACAATGAATTGAACGATTGGTCGGTGGTTAGTTGCGTATTTGTTCTCAAGAGAAAAAAAAACCGATCAATGTCTGTAACGTATATATGTTCTTGTGTTCGCGCAGCTTCGGTATGGGCCGTTCCGGCCAATACAACCTAGAAGACAAATCTTGCGCCTTCCGCCGTCAAACGTCATCACTAGTGGATCCACCCAGTGCCGCCTAGATGGCGTCAGTGTTGCCGCCAGCGCATCTTGCCGTGTCTCACAACAGGATCGGCGCTAACACGCGGCGACGTCAGACGTACGCGTCTGCTGCATTGTGGAGTCTCTCGTGCAGCTTCGGTGTTTTTGCCGCTTGAGGCGGGTCGGGGATTCATTGACGAAGACGTCATACGCAGGTGTCGTGTTATATTAATAGTAAGATAATGATCTTTATTTTCAGTTAAAGAAATGGTGGAGCAAAAGGGAAAAAGCTCCAACAAGTGGTATTGCTTAGACTAGGTGGCATTCTTGAGACTCGAGCAAGCTCTTAGAAAATCGAGGTAGGACTATCTGATACGACCCTAATAACTTCTTTTTTTGTTGTGTCTCTTTCGGCAGGCCATCTTTTTCTCGACAGACATCTTCATGACGGCCGGCTTGGACGCCGAGGGCGCCATGCAGGCAACCTTGGGCATGGGCGTGGTCAACGTGCTCATGACACTTGTTTCCATGGTGGTGGTCGAGCGCGCGGGAAGGCGAACGCTGCTGCTCGCCGGCATGGCCGGCATGGCGCTGTCCACCGTCGTGCTAACGGTCACCCTCGCCTTCAAGGTAGGCCACAACCAAAGGTTTCCGCAAGTAACGCCGGAAGAACAACCGTAGGTTTGGCAATTTCTTCGTGAGTGAGCTGTTTTTTATCAGCCGATGCCTGGTAAAAGTGGTAAGCCCTACGCCTGAAATGGTCCTCTATCCTATGAATGCCATCTTCCTTGGGCCAGTTAAGGGCCAGGCAGATGCCGCGTGCCTGCTTGGCGGCCGACATAAAAAACAGCTCAATGGGCGTCGTTGGGTTTGCCGAGGACCCCGTATTTACTAATGGCCAAACTAGGTGCAAGGACTCGATGACCTTATTTTTGTCGACATTGTTTTTACTCGTCCGTCGAAAAAGTTCCAATGTTTGAGCTGCCAGAACGTTTGCCAAACAATGACCGGGCATTGTGCGATGTAGTAACCAACGTGTGGACTGTTCCAGAGCTACCAAATTAGATATTCGTTGGTTGGATTGGCTTGTGTTAGGTGAATCCGCCTGGTAAAGGATGGGGGCGGACTGGGTCCAATAACATAAGCCTGTTCTTCTATTCTCTTTTACTCGACCGTATGTTTTATTCTGCGATCCCATAGGCTGTATCGCAATCGTTAAGATGTCGCGATTTTTGTCGCGCTTCAAGTTTGGCGTCGAAATGCAGAAATCGACTGGTTTCTCAGTCGTTTCATTTTTCGAAAACTGGGAAGCAGTTTGAGTTCATTGGCAGTTTGCACGACAGAATACAACGTAGTTCAAATGCTATAAATTGATTCTGTATAAGGTTTGATTTTATTTGCAATAGCATTTCACCTACACTGATTGCGTCACCGTTGTCGGAACATTTAGGCATCAATGAACACCTAAGCAAAACTTACTAAGGTTGCAACAATACTTAAAAAACAAGAAAGCTGGCGGTAATTCATGGTAATAAAAACCCGAGGCTCAGGAACACAGAAGGGGACGAAGGTGTTGTGTTCGTCCCCTTCTGTGTTCCTGGGTCTCGAGTTTTTATTACCATAAATTTCTAAGGTTCTTTTCTTTCGGTTGCTAAACATGAAACGTACAAAAAAAAAAAAAGAAAAAGACAGCCTACGGGTTCATTCCCTGACCTTTCTTTATGAACGTTTAATCCGTCTGTCATTTGTTTTGCCGTGCCCGAGCTCTGTCGTGCCCGAGCTCGCATTACATGAATCTCGTCATGCATTACTTGACTCATCATGCATTTATTTAACCCTTTCATTCACATATTTTGTGTGTGTGTGTGTGTGTGTTTGTGTGTGTGCTGCACTTTTAAACAAACGTGTCTTTCTCACTGCTGTTACAAATTGTAGTGAAGTTGTTTCATTGGCTGGCACATCAGCAAGTTAGGCGTGCATGTTGGTAAGAGTTGTTAGTTGTTAAGGAAGGTTTTCCTGACTTCGCTAATTTTGAGCTTTTTTTTTGTTTTTAGCATTACAACAACAGCAACGTTGTTGAAAGTTTCTTGGACACCCCAAGACCTCATTCAGCTCGTGAAAAACGATTTCGCCTCAAGCATTATCGCCCCCTGGCGCATTAGGAAAATAGCTGGATGATGAAGAACTCTTTCGCAAAAAAAAAGGAGCTTAGGAGTACCCCTAATAGGTTTTTCACGAAGAACCCTTTTAGAGTATGCTTAAAATAACTTTTAGACTGCAAAATGTGTATAAACCGAAGAACGCTTAAGAGTTCTTTTACGACCAGATTTTTTAGAGTGCGAGTGCTGTGCACCCTGATTTTATTTTGCAAATTTGGGTATCTTCTCTCTCATCACAAGAAAGACATAAACAAAGGCATCTAATCATGCGAAAAAGCTGGTTATAACTTGCTTGCCTAGTAAAACATACCAATCACGTAAACAGATTCAATTGTGTGCTCTCTCGCCTCCCACATAAATATACTTATTTACATGATTGCAATATATTACATGACTGCCACTACGTGGTCGCCCCCTTTTTTATGATTACCAGTACGTGAAAACCCCGAATCTACAAAAACCGGTCTTCTTGAATGCATACCCGAATAATCGTATGGCTCCAACGTTTTTTCATCGTTTTATGTATCAAAGACAAAGATTACAGTACAGCTTTGCATGGATTAACATTTTAGTATTTTCACGAAGCATCACATGATAATCGAAAGCGTATGCATGGCAGGCGCCACCATGTTGTAATTATATTTACCAGTTCAGTTTATTCAACTGCAGACACCTAGTTTATATTAATTGATGGCAGAAAGATTCCAGCAGTGTTAACATTAATCAAAGTATAGAACACGTATTTGGAGAACTAAAAAGGTGGAGAATGTATGGGTTTTTATGGTCGACTCTTAACACATTAGAAACCTTCGGACTTTATCGCTTCGTAGTACGTGCCTGCATCACTTAAAAAAATAATGCAAAATAATGCGTTTGAGACCACAGATGTTCCCTAAATTGCAAATGGAATATTCATATGAAATTAATAATTAAATGTTTAGTTTAGAGCCATCATGATTTTTGTTGAACCCAGAAGCCATATTTGTTTCGCTTGGAGTTCGGAGCTGATTATTGCTACAGAAGTAAAGGTTTAATTAATTCGCGCCTTCGCTTAACGTTAATAGGACCACAAAATGATTTTTCAACTTCTTCCCCTCCTAGGATTTATTTCTAAACTCAAAGACGAAATAAAAAATTACGTGGTCGTGAAGACCAGAGGTGATGACTCCAAGCTTCCACCGTGCTTTTTATGCACACGATGAAACTTGTCAATCTCAAGTGGTGATGATTGTCGTCACGTCGCTCATTGTCTACAAATGGGAATTTAAATATTCGTTGACGGATTGATTGCTGACGAGCTCGTACGTCCGAGTGACGCAGTGCTCGTGTGAAATGCGTGCGCTGGGTTCGGCTTATGTACTTGGGCACTGCGGATGCATCATAGTGAAAAGGCTTTTAAAGGAAAAGAGGTATAAAATAGTCCGCTATATTTTCAAATTTTCCTAGCGAAAAGCAGGCTTTAGGCTTTCTGTGCTCGTGTACCAGCTTCATCTCGGAGCATTAAATGAAATGCGACTAGTAAAATACCAATTTATCCCAGCCGAAAATTCAGCTAATGGCCCTTTTAATGAAGCAATAACGTCTTCAGAACATCTTGGCTTCTCGTACTTTTTTCTTGAGCATAACGGGCGTAGCTCTAAATCCCGTTGCTTTATTCCAGACAGAAGTATAGTGGAACGAAACTTTTACTACCAGCAAGAAAGGTGTAAACGATCCCGGTCCCGGACGCCATAAAAACCCGGGACAAAGCGAACAGGACAAACATTTACATACGGTCTGCGATCCTTTTTTTTTTTTAAGTTTCCGGGGTCGCTTTTTTTTTATGACGTTAGAGATTTTGGGGTCCCCAATATATATATAAGCTTCGGAGGCCAAGTTACAAACACCATCCCAAAAATTTGAGTTTATTTACGCTACCGCGTAACGTGTGTCACGGCGACAGCAATTCGGCGCTCGCGTATTAGTTAATATTGTGGTGCCCTTGTCATCTCCGCGCCACCTCTTCAACAGGACTCTGAAAATTTTCAGCCCATTTACGCTTCCCCTCTTGATTTCGCTCCCGTGTCTCGTCCGTATTTCTACGGCGAGCCTCCTCGGCGCGCCGTAACTGAAATTCGCGTTCTTCGGACCCGCGACGGACTTTCTGAGGTCCAGTCATAGAGGATGCAAGTTCGTCTGCTCGGATGGTCGTGTGCATGGGCCGGCACAACGATGTTTCGCCTGCAGCCTTTCCTTCGAACGCCTCGCCTCCGGCACGCACTCGCTGGCTTTCGTCGTGCTCCTGCGTCGCGTTCACCTCTCGAGTCCCACAACTCGCCGAAGCGTTATCGAAGGTATAATGAAATGGAATGAACACCGCATTTAATTCACAGAAATTTGTCCTGGCGATAGCTCTTTCTCGAGCCACTAAATGAGCTACGTTAGAGTATCGGCACTATGTTACCTGATATTGTTGTGGGCGCCGCCGTCTTGGTGCTTGTGCAGAGCAAACGCAACTGCCGATTGTCATGATTCAAAAGTGCGACTTCCTCAGCAATATATTCAATGTCCAGAGGCCCATTTATTATTGCTTTGCTACGTCGCGAACGGTTTAAACTATTGTGCAGGATTAAAAAAAAAAAACGCTTCCTGTGATTTCAGATAAAGCTTTAGATAACTGGCAACTACGATTTAAAGCTAAAACATGGGTAAGTGTCGTTACTCTGAAGCGTAGCTTATTTATTGGCACTAGGTCATTCCATAAAGAGGTGGACTATTTATCGATAGGTTGCTGGTCTGAACCCGGCTCGACGAACATAACTTTTTGTTTTCTTATAAACTCTGTGGCGGCGGTGGCACGCGCTCAGCAGGGAGTCCAAACTGCTGTTTCAAATCTGTTTTCCCCGAAATTCGTATCAATTGCAACTTTTGTCACATCCAAGAATTACCTTTAGCTCAGGGAGTTTCTGGACCTCCTAACTTTTTATCGTTTTTTCATATCCAACCGCGCATCAAAGCATGTGACCTCTGACTGGTGTGTCAAAGGTGTTAATTTATTGGAATGTGTACCGGCCAGTCACTCTTTCAACAACATATAGGTGCATCTCTTCTACACTACTCTGCTCGTTCATCTTCACCATAATATTCCTGTCAACATCATGGTAGACGCCTCCAACGTGGTTGTTGGCGCTTTCATGCAGCAACTGCCTCCCAACATGTGGCAGCTCATCACCTTCTACTCCCGTACGCTAACACAAGCCAAGTTCCGCCACAGCACTTTCGGTAGAGTGCCCTCCGCGACCAACCAGGTCGTCGAACATTTTCGTAATTTTCGGTATGATCGGAGTTTCTTGATACTTATCGGTCATAAGACTCCAATTTACGGTTTCAAGTCAGGTGACAAATTTGATTCTCCTGAAGTCCGTCAGATGTCATACATGTCTGAGTTTACCACAGATATCCGAAACATCAAAGGCAAAGACAACGCGGCTGCTGATGCGCTCTCGCGGGTCGTCGTCCCGCCCTGATACAACATCATACACAGGGCAGTTGATACCAAGGTCATAGGCCCGGCTCAACGAGAAAGCACTGAATTTTAACAACTTCGTTCCACGTAGTACAGCCTGAATGTATGCGTGGTCAATTTGTCAATTTCCAATACGTCTCTCATCCGTGATAACACCATAAAAGCATCGCACTTTTTCATAGCTGTTTTTTTTTTTACGTCAAGCCTTCGACTTAGTACTCTTCCTGACAAACACCTGATACTTTATTAGCAGACATCGATGCAAACATGGATATGCATAATATTATACTGATTTTTAATGAATATTACCACCTTCATATATTTTTAGAGATGTTTTTTATTTGTAATGTTTTATTGCTATATTTTATTTAGCTTGTTTCGAGAAACGTGTGAAATCGTCTGTGAAAAATGTAAACAAGTGCTTTAAGAAGTTATTTTTTTTCACCTCTGGAAGACTCATTGCCCGCTGTACGAGAGCTTGCTGACTTTCCATTTTAAACGTTGAATTAACAGTGTAGTATTTTTGGTCCAAATGTTTACATGGAATCAACGAAACGTAAACTTAATTCAAGGAATAAAATTATGAACCTGCCAAAATTATATAAAAATAATCAGCGTCAATTTTTTTTTACCTTGTCGCCTGGAGCGGCGTTATTGTTTACATAAATATCATTGAAAGGGTTTTTCGCTTTCTTGCGGTATCACGCGTGTAAATGCACGCGTACCTCAATCCCCATTGGCTGAGACGCGTCATGTGGCTTCGAAGCAACGGCGCCATCGTTGCTAAGAAGCCAGCCGAATTGATGGCAGCGCAGCGCAAAGAGTAAAAACACGTCAAAATACTCAGATTGACGTCAAATTTCGCAGTGAGGTTCCTGTAAACAAATTCAATGAATGAAATTGAAAAATAAATTTCGCACATTTCGGTCTGGGGGGAACCGAATCCGGGCCTCCGGGGTGCAAGACGAACACTCTTCCCCGACACCACGGCGGCTCCGCGGTTCCGGCTGACTAAAGCTGTGCCTATTGCGTGCGTCATGCTTTCGCATTCCCACACTTAAGCAGTTTTAAGTGTCTCTGCCGAATTTTTCACTGTGGGTATTAGGTATTACTTTTACAAGAGATAAGCTAGACCTAGTTACTGGTAAGTATATCAAATGAAGCATAAAGAACGTCTACACAGTGAGGAACAAAACGGTAATTTTATGGCTGTTATTTTACCAAGGGCTCTCTATTTACGCCAGTCTTTTCTAATCTTGCAGGACCACGCGGTGTGGGTGTCCTACGTCAGCATCGGTGGACTCTTAGCCTTTGTCATCACGTTTGCCATAGGACCGGGTAAGTGATCCTTGGTATAAACTGTGTGTATATATATATATGCGCCTTACAAATAAGCACCAGCTCGACCGGTGAACACGCAGTAGCTTAATTGATTAAAAACAAGTCCGTTGCATGGTTCGAGTATCTAGCTTCTTGCCACTTGTTCGTAAATGGTAGGGACGCGGAAATCTGTAAAGCTTGTAAATGTTTCCAAAATATCTGTACGGCGTGAAAAATTTTGCACACATGCTGAGCACGAAATGGGAACATTGAGGATGGCAACAGTCAAAGACTCTTGATTAGAACTGTGCTGAAATTCATGGGTTCTGCGCATCGTTGTGAGAGGCACGAGTGCATCTGTTTATTTATGAAGTACTTTCGCTGAGCGCATTTTACACAAAGCAAAGCATTTTGATACGGCATGCTTACGCGCGTGGGTCTTGAGTAGCATATCACTCCACATTTGTGATGGGAACTACACTCTAAATATCGGGACCTCTGTGATATCGCTTACAGGCAAGAACAATTTAATCGAAGTTCGAGTTATAAGCCGCCCTCAATTCAGCTCTATTTTAACTGTGTAATGATCCTACACTCTGTACGTATACGCTATACCAGGTATGCTAGAAATATTACATTGTTAATGTCTGAATTACTAACTTGCTGCTTATGACCAGAACGGATATATTGTTATTTATCCTTACCATAAGCGAGCTTCTCATACCTTAGGTCGCAACGCACACTTTTATGTTATTAGATTGCTTTTTCAGGGTCAGTTCAAAACTATCGGAGCTTGTAATATTATTCGAAGAAAAAGCAGAGATATAAAATGTCACAAAAGCTTTAATTATACGTCATTCGCCAGTCTGAAAGCTTAGTGGCAAGAATCAATGATGTCAAACTTTTTGCATTGTTGGGACTATAGAGTTAAGATAATGTACGCTAGAGGTTCAAGTGGCGCTAGTTTGCTGGCGTCAGTTGAAGCAGACAGCAACCAGTCGAAAATTGACTTCCGGTAATGCATTTCTATGGGTAAATGTGAGTGCATCATCTCCCTGTGCTCGATCCTAAGAGAAAATATCCCGAATAATTCTTACGTACTAGCTAGCTTGGAACATTTCTCAGTAAGGCCGACGAAATGACTGGTCAGTTACGGAGTTTTTCTTTCAAATTCATTGCAATAAAAACGGTGCAAAACGTTTCGTACGTGTATTAATGTGCACTGTCGGACACTGTTAGCGTGAACACGACGTCGGTGCTTTTCAGCATGAGGGATATACGTGCCAAACGAACGAAGGACATCTGGAAATTAAGGGAGACGGCAAGAACTGCGCAGTAACACTAGATCAGTAACTACGCGTGCATGTACGATCAAAATAAACTGAAGGCCACGTAAAATATTCCGATTTTAAATAAGTACCGCTTTATTCTTTCTGCTCTGTGCGAAGATACTTGTTCTACATTAAAAATATACCCCGCACGCTAAAAATCTTTGAGAAAAAGTACCCGATAATGGCTGCCCGGCAGAGAAAACAATAGAAAGGGACAAGTTTTATAGCCCATGTGTTTTATTCTTTACGTTTTGAATGCTTTTATCCACTCATGCACGACGAGGTCATTTTCATATAGTGACAGGCTGGCATATTATCAATATTTAAGCGTCACCGAAATGCTGGCGAGCCTTGAACCCACTCTATATTCCTTTCGATTGTAATTTTGCTTTGAATCGTCACTTGTTCTTACACACCTGCAGCGGAACACACGTTTGGGACTGAAATGTACCGAAGTTAAACATTGTTCACCGATGAAAAATAATGCGCTAACTAAAGCAATTATACATTTACGATGGTAATCAAGGAATATACTATTCGGCACGACCAAAATAACCAAAGTGCCCCGTGTTATTTTCCGGCGAAGAGACAAAATCCACGCGCATTTTTCCATAGGGATGCACAGGAGCACCGCAAGAGTAGATTGGTTGCTGTCCGCTTCCATTTGCGTCACAAAAGTCGCATAGACACTGGCGCCAGTTGAACCTTTAGCGTACAGTACATTATAATAAGTGCATGGCTGGGTCAGCCCACGTCCGATTTTGTTATGTGTGCTTTATTTGGGTTAAACAGGGACACTAAGAATTCATTTTTTGCGTGCTTGATCGTGATGTGGATATTTTGGTATTGAGTGAGCAAAGTGGGTATTTTTTTTGTATCCCGTGTAAAAAAACAACAAAAATTTAAATGCGCAAATTATTTTTATATGATCTTAGCTTGCCCACTCGTGTATGAGGTGACTAAGAATAATTATGAACCGTGTTTCTTCATTTTACCAATGTAGTTTCAATCTGCAACGAGGCTAGTGGCCTTCCTTGTGACCTGATGCTTGTCATATGGGGCCTACCTGGGCTAGACACAGGAAAAGCAGGTTTAAATTACCTTGAATTTCTTAAAGTTAGCATGGCTATAGGGTTCATAAGAACGTCCAAGAAGAATTTGCTCTTGTCTTACCGAATGGACCCGGAACAATGAGCACGAGCAGCTCAAGCACCATTTATTCATTCACAGGAGGCCGCGCTGTGCACTTCAGCGGCTTAAAAGTATTCGTAATCAGCGTTGTCTAGAAGTACAAGACATTCCAATAAATACGATGCTTTGGAAAGGTTGTCGATAAACATTATAGACGAATCAGACTGATATATTAGTGTAGACCTCCTTGCACATATGTCCTTAATTCTGGAAACATAAAATATAGCAGTAAATTAGCATCGAAGTGGAGGATATATAATCTAGAGTTGAATTCAGTCACTCTTGCTTCTGATTTTGTTAGATTTTAGCACCCCTAAAAAGTGAGCTACTTTACTTTCTCGCCGTGCACACGTAGGGAGAGAAAATTTCTTTGTTTGCTTGTACGTCACTAAGCGAGCTTTTCCCACGGTGACTGCGTGCAGGTTCCATCCCGTGGTTCCTGGTGACGGAGCTGTTCGGCCAGGGGGCCAGGCCCATCGCCAGCAGCCTCGCAGTTGGCGTCAACTGGGCGGCAAACTTCGTCGTCGGCATCGCCTTCCTGCCGCTCATGGTAGGCCTAGCCCTGTTCACTCCTGGACAACGGTACTAGAACAACCCTGTTGGGGAACTGCCATATGAACCTGCTTTGAAGAAGTGGCTCCAACCCATACTTTAGAACCGAACTAGGTTTGTTCACACCGCCGCCGTTTCCATTGCAGCGCCCACTCCGGGAATAATATATATACCAGAACGGAGAACAATAAAATCTTACCTGTGTCTGCAAAGTGAGCTTTTGCGAACCGCCTAGTCTCAAAACGGATTATGTACCACCATCTAACCATTAAACGAATGAAACTAACTGACTGCCATGAAGCGGCGTTGTAATCGAATCTGGGTTCCGGTGTCTCAGTTCGGCTGGGCGCAAGGGGTCTGCGATCCTAGGATGGGTTTTCTAGCTGAGTTGTTCTAGTAATGTTGTATTTGGCTCAGCAAAAAATGATAACGAGTAACATAGTCCTATTTATTGCAGATTATTTTTATGAATGTGCGAGTTGAGCAGAGGCAGTCACTTATTCTGAAGACATACCTGCCTTACACTCCAAATAAAAGGCCGGTTTTTCGCGTTAACTTTCCCCCGCCTACAAGTGACCTAACATCGAAAATGCTCAACCGTCTCTATCTGGCCTTTTTCTACTGGGGGCAACGGTGCCGACAAGGTAGCTTAAAGCCGGGAGGAGAAAGTTAAGGCCAGATAACCGTCATCTTATTTGTAGTGTAGTGTACGTTCATTATTGTTGGCGCAGTTGTCTTTGGAATTAAAAAACAAGTTTCACTGCGGTAGAATGTAAAAAAGAAGCATGCTTTTGCAAGCTGATTTCTTTCTATTTTAGGCATACTAACATATTAGTGTATTGTACAAATTCTAACAGCTGCATTGTGCTAGATACACCCGAGTATAAATAAACATAGGATACTTACATATATAGGCATAGACAAAATAATCAACAGATCCTATAAGAGCTTCGTGCTGCACTAGCATGCTAATTTCAAGTATTGGTTAAGTTTATTAAATTGGCTGGGGTGCCAGAACCGCAGAGGCATATCACACAAGCATAACATCTGCTAAAACTGACTCTTTATATTTAAAGACGTAATTTAGTGCAAAGATTGTATGCCTTGCAAAAATAGGAGGACCGCTAGCATAGTAACACTTATCTTCCAGTTGTATTATTTTTGAGCATAGATAAAAAATAAAACGTAAAGTTTATTATAAAAATATATTCTCGAGCACCTCAACCAAAAATTCTCGCAACCTTTATTCTGTCTAGTCTTGAAAAATACTCAATTTTAAAGCGCAGACTGGGATATAACAGTGTTATATAATAAATACTCAAAAATATCCTTTTCTTTTATTTCGCAGGAGGTGGTTCAGCATTACACGTTCCTCATTTTCACCCTGGTGCTGGTGTTCTTCTGGGTGTTCATCTATAAGAAACTTCCAGAAACAAAGAACAAGAGCATCGAAGAGATCACAAATATGTTCCGCGTTCGTGCCTACAAGGATGACACGCCCATGACAAAACTGAATGCCAACAGCAAGGCATGACTCCAATCAGCGTAAATTGAACGTTCGTCAGTATGGAACTCTAGAAAATCAGGAAGCACGCCGTTCCCTTTTCTCCAAGACTAGACGAATGCTGAAGCAATCGTCGCGAAGAGTGGAGGAGTGCTGTGTTGATCGTTTTGCGTTCCGCTTTGTGACACCATCGCCAAGTATCGTCGGGAATTGTTTGTAGTAACGTGAGAGAGCCATGGAGGTAGACAGATCAATTTCCTTGATATGCAAATTATGAAGAGACATCCAGGCAGGTAAGATATGACGTGTGGCAAAGATTCCTGCCTTTACACATTCCGATAAGCGTTGTAAATATTCATATCAAACGAGAACGCAAAATCTTTTCTACGATGTGCATCGAAGTGACATCAATCAGGCTAAAAAAAGCTACTACTTTCGCTCTAAAATTGAAAGAGGTTGGGGAAATATGGGGTAGACGTGGTGTTTGGTGCTTGTAATACCCACCCCTAGAATACGCTTCTCAAATCAAAGCGAAGATTGCAGTATTGAGGTGTACATATCGTCGGGATGATTTTACAAGGTTAGAAATGTCTGGTGCATTTGTATATATTGGTGGTACCAAGTGTGATGATTTCAATGGAATGCAAGTTGTGGTGCGTTTGCAATTGAATGCTGCTCGCTAGTGGTGGTTCATTGTGACCGAGGCGTTTTGCCGGCGATAGTTTACTCTTGAAGAACACAGACAGCCCTACTACGCAGGCATAAGAATTTGTGCTAGATTTTTCTTGACTTCCTAAAATAACCCTAGTTCTTTACTAGGCGTGCCAAAAGGTATTTGGGTTGGTCTGGGGCTGTGTAATTGGGGACGAAACGGAGGCCAAATTTAACTGTTTAACTCTTTAACTCTCTCGAAGTTTGACGACATTTTTAGGGAACCAGTTCTGCATAGGTTTGCTACCTTCTTATATATACCTGATTTGTTTGGAATCTAGACCTATAAAATTTATGTTTCTAGCGGTTATGAAAATTGTGTTTAAACACATGTCTTAATATTTTTGTCGCAGTCATATTGAGAAAAGTTAAATAAGGTCAACTGGGACTCTATCCCCATGCCATTAACTGAAAGACGGACGGTGCTTCTAATCAAATAGGATATTTTAATAAAAGAAATGCAAGAGAAATTTTTTAGTAACACATGCACACTTTGCATTCTCTAGTGTTTTTTTTTTTTGAGTGCGGTGAAAAACACAATACGACGCACTTGGCTGTAAAATGTAACAAAATGTGTAATATCGAAAATTTACCTCACCGATCCAAATTACGTTTGCTAGCCAATATATAACTTTGCGGTAATATGACATGATTGCACTATCAGTTGAGCGCTTTTATTGATAAGACTAGGGCGTAAGCTTGAGACTACAAGTGAGTGTCGGCGTGGCTTCGTGGACAGGCGTGACAACTTTTTATTTCGGATAATATTTACTGAAGGGTTTACTGTATATTTCTTACTTCACTTCACAGTATATTGCAATTTATGGCTCAAAAACGAAAATTGTGTGTTGCGCAGTTCATGTCGAAGTTACAAAACACGAAAACACGCAAGAAGATTTTATAACGTTAAGGTCAATCAAAGACGTCACATTTAATGGCTGTACTTGAACTCTTAGTAACGACCAAACAAATCGGAAGTCCTGCCAGGATAGTAAGTCCGTTTTTGCTTGACGTTAATTGGCTTAATTCTATGCAGTATATTTCTAGGTAGTCAACGCTACCGTTTGGTAGCATGTCAACTGGGTTAATCTCTTTTAAGGACGTAGGCATGAGCCAGAAATTCTCCCTATCAGCAAAACAACCCGCAGTGAAACCTAATTCCTGCACTTGTTTCGAAATTTAGACCCAAAGTTGCCAGGTGAAAACCGAGCAACTAGAAATGAAGTCAAACGTGAAAACAGCGCAAAAAATTGAACAAAGGACAAGTGAAAGGAGTGCACGGACAAAGCGCTGTCAGAAATGAAGCCTTGATTTAGCATATCCTAAGAAACTGAGGCCCGAAGAAGCCAGTTGACAACCAAATAATTAGGCAGTGAAGTCTAACTCTCGCTCTTGTTTGGCAATTTAGAGCCAAAATGGTCCGACTCAGTCAAAATAATACCGAGTTCGGTTATACCTTGGTTTCTTCGGGTCTTCTGTGTCCTGAACTGCCAGAAGAAAAAAAAATTGTGGCTTAAACAACAGTGCTACCTGGAAATTTCGCCAAGAGACCTTCATGGTCGGCGGCAAACCAGTTCGCAATCCTCCGCGCGTGATATGTGCTCGCGACCCAAGATAAGAGGGCTGATTCAACCCTCGACAAGGAACGTATGTTAAAGGAAATGAAAATGCTAACCGTGTGAATGGCGTTTTATAAAAAGAAAGCAACACGTTTACTACTCATTCGTTGTCATCGCAATACACTAAATGCTGCTGATGAGCTACGTACTCTGTCAGATTAATATTTTTTATTTAATTATGTGGGTCAAACTTGCCAGCCTTTTAATATCTGGGCGTTCGCAAGGGCGAAACTTAGTCTCGTCGAAATTCTAATATTTTATGTCCCTGCTCTAGAGAAGCACCTTGTCCAGAGGGAGTCCAAGGTCGCCCAAGGCTGCGCTGCATCAACCAGCACTCCTTCTTTTAAAGTTACTTTTCCCCCATTTTTGCATCCGCCATGCAACCGACTATACTTTGCGTCGATAAACCTGACGAGTCCTCATGACCTCAGACTTCGTCTCACAATCTTGTCTTACACGCGACGTTGTTTATGTTCGCACACAGGCAGCTTCCCAGTCTTTCTCTTGCGAACCTTTTCCCGGTCGAATCATTCTGTATCACGAAGCGAGATCAACGAATCAAAATTTTTGGTTTGATTGCACAAATCGTGTAAAATGTTTTTTTTTTTTTTTTTGATAGCGGGCATGTTTTCGCCTCTCAAGAGAACGTTTAAACTTCCTAAGCTTTTCATCAGCCGTGAAAGATAAACGGACCACACGCGCACCAAGCGTTCGCTATTGAAAGATTGTGGCTCCATAGCGAGGAAACAGGATATTCACTCATCCGGATTGCTCGCGAGGCGTTGGATGAAATACGATCTACCTCTACTATGAAGTCACGTGATCCTACAACTGTTCACGTGCTGAGTGCCCCTGTGTTTCTGCTCTGCACTTGAGGACAATGTTTTCGGGCTGCGTATCCACGGGGGCGTCAGCACCGCGGCGTCGCATAGCATTCGCCCTCTAAACCGAAAGTACAAAGAACCAGTCTGGTATTTTTACAGAGTGTCAATATTTTTATACAAAAATAAAATAAATAATCCTCTCTTACGTTGGTTCGGCTAAGTTATTTATACTGAGTACTAGATTACACCTTTTGATACAGCTGGATGGCCAACGAGAGTTAGTACCGTCACATTGAAGCATGCCTTAAGTCAACTCCACCTTTATGCAAGTCCTTCGTATTTCTTTCTCTCCACAACAGCAAATGTCACACTCTAGGGACTGGCATTTTACTCTCAGTTACTACAGTGTCCTACATGGCATGCCATTGCCGAGACCGTACCTGTAACCCGCTCCTAAAGGAGGCTGTCGTGTTGTATAAAAACAGGGACAAACAAGCTTCACAAACAAGCAAAAAAGTCGAGGCACACAGAATAAAAAATGAATGGACAAAGTCAGGTCTGTTTTAATAATGGGAGAGCGAGGTCGAATTCCTAATTTAGGGGGATGTCGGATTGGTCGTGTATAACTGATGGCTTCGAGTAATTTGTTGCGCAGGCACAATACCATCTGAGTAGAGAGTCGTGTATGTATTTATGTTTTTTTTTGTTCTAGAAAAATAATACCATAAGCCACTCTCGGCGTTTCTTAAGCTATAATTGATTATTGCTGTTCGGTCACCTCAGTCTACTTGTCCCGCCAACAGAATCGCGCGAATATGGAAATATATTATAAGGTGTAATACGCCAAAACAACACGGACGAAAATGAAGGGAGAACTGGACAGGACGCGGTGTAACATTCAACCGAACTGTTTATTCGATGACATACTTTTAAAAATATTCAAACAGGCCACACTTGGCAGGACACAAAAATATAGTCTACCCCCCCCCCCCCCCCCCCCCCTTTACTGAAATGCCATGATAGGGTCAAAGAGCATGCGTTGGCGATGAGGCAGTCCCCGTCTGACAGCCTAGCAGTCCACTGTGACCATTGCGAATACGGGCCAAACTCGGGAAAGTCCAGCACCATCTTTGGTGAGACCTGTGTCATGAGCCATTACAAAACAAAAACGGCCAGAGAAATTCACGAAGCTTTCGTGATTAAGTCCCAGCAGGACAACTCTTGTGTAAAGCGCCCTATTTGTCCTTGTTCAATAAGGAATTCTACTATCTGAAGAACCAATGACGCTGGTATTTGAGTGTTTTTAAACCATATCTTTCTGTTCTGCCAAGTGTGCCTGTTTTTATATTTTTAAAAGTATGTAATTGAAATGAACCACTCAGTTGAAAGTTACGCCGCGTCCTGTTCAGTTCTCCCTTCGTTTTCGTCCGTGTTGTTTTGGCGAATTACACCATGATGCAAGAGCAACTAGCCCAACTAGCCATCGTTACGAAAATATATGTGAAATAGGAAGCATATCAACTGCCGTCGTGCCCGTCAATGTACAATTAGCGTGGTCTCATGGATGAGAACAGTGTTAACGTTAATGCGTTAAAATCAAAGGCATTGCCGGTATTGCGCAACTTTTTCGTTAACGTAGTAACGTATACTCGTTACTTTTTTAGAACAGTAACAGGTAACGTAGTAGTTACATTACTCGTTACCTCTTCCCGGGACCTAAAAAGGACACTTTACTTTTTTCGTGTTTTTAGGATCAAAGCCATGTAAATTGTTTAGTTTTTTGCGTTTTCCGTATATTATTAGAGTATTCCGACATAATTCATCATTAAAAAAGTAACGCAAAAGTAACCTGCGGTACGTTTTATCGGTAATGGTGATGGTAACACTTTTATTTTATTTTGAGGTAACGTAGGTTGGTAGCGCGTTCCTTTTGTTTGCAAGTAACGAGTAACGTATTTCATTACTTGTTTTCGGTAACGCCTACAACAAGAGTGAGAAAGGTCTGTCAGTATTAGCGGCGAGATGTTTCGGTGGCGCCCTCCTATGGTTCCCCCTTGTGACGTCATTACCTTGCGAACAACAAGTTCGATGGTGTTTGTAAATAGCATAGTGGAAGCCTGAAATCATTGCGCTCTCGAAGCAGCACTGCCAACACCGTCGAAATTAAAGTTCTTTCATTCCTCTTATTTCCGTCGATGGTATACCCTTTCCGACGTCATAGTCAGCTTTTGGGCCAATCGTGGAAGGCCGACCACAGCGACGCTTTCGGTCGCGCTCGTCGCCAATAGACCTTTCCAATGTTTACAAATCCACAGCTCAGCGTGCGATTTCCACAGCTCAGCACGCGCGTGTGCGTCGCTTCGGAAAGCGAGCAAATCACGCGCGATTCGCACGAACACTGAAAATGAAACCGGCCAGCAGCCCTTTTCTGGAAAGGTCTATTGGCGACGTGCGCGACCGAAAGCGTCGCTGTGGTCGGCCTTCCACGATTGGCCCAAAAGCTGACTATGACGTCGGAAAGGGTTTTGATTAAACACGTCTTTAATGAAACCGCCCTCTGGCTGATAAGGCCTCGAGGTGGGTGGGGGTAAGGGAAGAGGGAAATGGGGTGATTATGTCAAATGAAAGTCCTGACCCCGGAGGATCGGAGGAATGTTATGATGGATGAGTATATAAGCTTGAGTTCCACCTCCTCAGTCGTGGCCGGCTGGGTCCATTCCTCAAAGGAGGTAGGGCGTAAGTGGCTTGGGAGGTCTGCGATGACGGCAGTCCGCTCCCGCGAGGTCCCCCTACAATCCCCCATTAAGTGTTGGCACGTTGCAGGGACTTTGCAGCACACGCAGTTCGGGTTTGGTCCGATATCTTGGGTGTCGGCTGGACGGTGGATCCTGGCTCTCCACACGGGGGTCATCATCGTCAGCGTTTGTATACGGTGGAGAGCCACCTTTTCCCAGCGCGGAAATCCGCAAGGGATCGGATGGGGATTATGTGGCAGCAGGGCGGCGAGTCTTGCCTTTCTTGCAATTCTTTCTTCTCGTTTGACTTCGAAGATGTCGAAGTCGTCTTCCTCTTGCTCGTCCCGTTGAATGGGCGAGAGGACGAGACCTTTTGAGGGATATTTTTCTGCTTGTAGCTGCGCCCTCGCGGCCCCGTCCGCCCGCTCATTCCCCGGGATGCTCGCGTGGCCCGGAATCCACGAGACCGTGATTGTCTGTTGTGATTTCGCTTGGCGGACCAGCGTTCGAATTTTTGTGACTGTGGTGTTGCAAGCGTCTGAGCGTCTAAGTTCGCGTAATGCTTCTTGCGAGTCCGTGTAGATTCGAGATTCAGTAATTCCTGCCTGGCGTGTTGTCGTCGATGCATGGACTGCCATCTGTATTGCGAGTAGCTCTGCGGCGCAAGCGCTTCGCGTGCGTGCGGCTAGTTGTTGCTGGGTTTCTTTCCTGGTGGTGGAATGCCAGGCGATGGCTGTGCGGCCACTCTCGTCGCGAGCCGCATCGGTGTAAAACACCTCAACGTTCGCTTTGAGGGAGCCGATTTCTGCGAGATGCATTTTGACCTGTGTGCCGCGACGTCCCGAGTTGTCGATTCCTTGGTGCTTGGGAGTAGGTTTGATTGAGGTGACCAGTTCTGTGTCCCACGGGGGAGGTGTGATGGGCATTAGTGGGCCTTTCGCTAGATGACTTCTCCCGCTCTTTTCGAGAATGACTCGTCCATGGGGTGTGCGCGCCAGTCGGCGCTCCTGGCTGATGGCCATCTCTTGTGCGATTTCTCGGATGGTATTCATTTGCGCTGCACGTTCGAGCTGTTCCACAGTGGTGAAGCGGGGCAGGCCAGTGACAATTCGCATCGCTGCTCGGTTCATTGTAACTAAGGTCGCTTCCTGTGCACGCGTTAATCGAAGATAATTGATACCATAAACCACTTTGGATACGAGCAGGGCTCGGACTAGGCGGCGTAGTAGTTCTTCTTGTGCCCCCCAAGACTTGCTGGAGATGGCTTTGAGGAGTTCAAGACCTTTCTTCCATTGTCCTTTGACTTGCTTAATCCATGTAGTGGCGCCCCCGTTCTGGTTAAAGGGGACACCCAGGATTTTCACGTTGTTAGATGGTGTGATAGGATCTCCGTCGAGATGAAGTTTGATGTTGACGCTAGATTTCCTGCGCCTGCTTGGGATGACCATGTAGGTAGTTTTATCTTTAGATATTTCCATTCCAGTGGTGCAGGCAAAGGTGGTGACAATATTCAATGCTCGCTGCATGTAGTGCTGCTGTTGTTCAGCTCCCCCGGCCGTAGTCCATAGGGTGATATCGTCCGCGTAGATGGTGTGCAGAACTTGTGGGACATTATCGAGGGCTCGAGCGAGATCCGTCATTACAATATTGAAGAGTAGCGGCGACAGGACCGCACCCTGTGGTACTCCAACGTTGTTGGGCTTCCATTTTCCTTTTGTGTTGCCGATCATTATTTGGTAGGTACGATCCTGCAGGAACGTCTTAATGAAGTTCACAAGGCGTCCTTGGATCCCGAGCTTCTTAGCAGCATCTACCACGGTGTGATGGGGGACAGAGTCAAACGCCTTGCGTAGGTCGATGGCGACAAGTGTGCGGGGTTGACTCTTGAATAGCCGTCGCTCATACATGTGGTAGTGTATCATGAGGAGGCTATCTTGTGTTGACATGTGTGGTCTGAAGCCAGTTTGTGTGGGGTGGAATGCTTTGGAGGTCTCGAGGATCCATGAAAGGCGAGTGGTGACCATACGTTCCATGACCTTGCACAGATTAGAGGTGAGGGAGATAGGCCTCAGGTTAGCGACCGTGTGTGGTGTTTTGCCGGCCTTCGGGATGGGAATCACGGTCGATCGTTTCCAATCAGCGGGAATTTCCCCTTCGGACCATATCTTGTTAAAAGTTTCTAAGAGTTCTTCCATGGCGTCTGTGGGAAGGTTCCGGAGCGCCGTAACGGTGATTTTGTCTGGGCCAGGCGCGGACTTCGCGTTCGCCGAGCTAAGAGCGTCAACAAGCTCCGCAAGAGTAAATGGGGCGTCTGCTGGCTGTTCGTGCAAAATAGGCTGTCGAGTGTAAGTTTCGGTTGGCGGAGGGTCGGGTTGCTGTGGGAAAAAATGTTCTCCCGCTTCATCTGCCAGTCGTTCTTCGCTTATTTTGAGGCGGAGGGCAAGGTTGCTTCCCGTGTTTCGTGTTTTCGTTTT